ACATTTGCAGCCATGCGCCCTCCCAGTGCTCTGAGAGTGTGGGCTCCTCTGTCACTCAAGTGCTGGCTACAGATCTTGACTTGGCACTCTTGGGCTGCACACTACAGCCCTTTGGTGAGCCCAGGCATTTTGTTTCCTCCCCAGCTTGGAGCAGCAGGGCCAGGGACCTTGGAAGTGCCAATGATAGAGGGCTTTTTCCTTGTTTCTTGGGGCTTCATCCTAGAGAAAGGCAGAGCTGCTGCCAATTGGAATAATCACCCCTGGTTGAGGCAACTGTGCTGTGAGCCCAAGCAGGTGGACTTACCCGGTGAAGAGTAATGGTTGGAGGCTCACAGGGAAGAGAGACTGGGCTCCTCTCTGTAGTGCTGTGGCATGCTGGAGGTTCCACCAAATAAATCAGGCTCTTTGTTCCTTCCTCAGCCTGAGAGCAGCGAGAGCAGTATGGCTGCAGCAGCAATGGCAGAGAGGCTGCCAGCTGCTCTGAGAGCTCCACCCCAGAATGACACAGAGCCACGGCCAATAGGAACTTTCATCTAGGGGTGGGGCCACTGTGCTGCAGGCCCCAGCCAGAGGCCCTGCCTGGTGAAGAGTGGGGAGTAGGAGGCCCACAGGGAAGCGAGTCTGGGCTCCTATCTGTATGGTGGTTGCAGTGTGTTGGAGGTACCAGCAAAGTGATCAAGGTCTTTATTATTTTCCCAGCCTGAAGGCATCAAGGGCAGTACCATTGCAGTGGCAATGGCAAAGAGGCTGTGGGTTGAACCAGGGATATCCTCCCCAGAGAAACACATAACTGCCACCAACTCAAGTGAGGGTAGGGCAGCTGTGCTGGGGGCCCAGGTCAGGAGGTCCTTCTCAGTGAGGAATAACGGGGCAGGGACCCACGCTGAAACAGTCTGGCTGCTTTTCCATAAAGCAGTTCCAGTGTGTTCCATAAAGCAGGGCCAGTGATAGCCCTTATGCTCTTTTGTCCTTCTCCAGCCTCAGGGGAGTAGGAGTGGGACCTGTGGAGGCAAAAAAAAAAAAAACCCCAGCAGGCTTGTCTGTTACCTCTGGGAGCCCTGTCCCAGAGAAATGGAGAGCTGCTACTGGCCCAAGTGCTCAGGCAGCAGTGGGGTGGCTGTGCTGGGGTCCCAGGTCAGTGAACTTTGTCTAGCGAGTCCTTAGCAGAGGTGAGGTCTGCAAACCATCTGCTCCTCAGCCCCATAAATGTGGTCTCTACCCTGAGGGCATGTGAGAGAACCTGGCCTCTCTTGGTGGTGGAGCTATGATACTGGTGCCCAGGTGCTCATAGGTCCAAGGCCCTTGGGACTCCACATGGGCCTGAGCAGTGGCTCTGCCCAGTCTCCACACAGCTCTCCATGTCAGTCTGGAGGCCTCAGGGGGAGCTCTCATGCCCAGGATTACAAAGGTCCATGGCAGAAGTGTGAGTCCTTGCAGGCTGTCACTCATTCACTGTTTCCCTGCAGTGGGGAGCCTCCTTTGACTCCATGCCAATCCCGGGTACAGAGCTACCTTGTCTCATTCTTCTCTGCACTCTGGGTCATGTTGCTTCCTTGATGAATCTCAACATGTCCTTCTGGACAGTCTAGTTGGAGAGCTAATGTCTACTTGCTATTCTATCTCCTCTCCATTAGAGTGGTACACACTCTATAGTCAATTTTTAAAAAACTCTTATCTCAGTCACTGGTAGTACAAGCACATGAAATATCAGTCTACCATGGTGAATGTTACATGTGCAATTGCAAAGAATGTGTTTTCTGAAGATACTGGATGTAGTAGTCTACAAATGTCAATTAGGTCAAGTTATTTTACACTAGTGTTCAAGCTTTCTATATCCTTAGTGATTTTCTGTCTGCTTACTTTTACAATTTATTTGTTAAATCATGCTCTGTGATTGGTTGCATATGCACTTAGGATTTTTATATCTTTTAATGAATTGGCTTGTTTATCATTATGAAATGTCTTTATTTCTGGTAATATTTCTTTTCCTAAAATATACTGTCTGATTTAATATTGCCACTCTAGTGTTCTTAATATTAGTGCTTATTTGTTATGTGTTTTCTCTCCTCTTACTTTTAACACATTTGTGCCGTCATATGTATTGTGTCTGTCTTACAGATATCACAACGTTTATTCTACCTATTTTATCAAGTCTGCCAATATCTTCCTTTTAACTGGAGTGTTTAGACCATTTATATTTAATGTGATTATTTATTTGGCTCAGTTTAATCCTACCAGATTGCTCTTTGCTTTACATTTATATTTGTCCTTTTATATTTATCACCCTTTTTTGCCTTTTTGGTAGTTTTAAAATATTACTACCTTTTTATTTATTCATTTATTTATTTTTTGAGACAGAGTCTCGCTCTGTCGCCCAGGCTGGAGTGCAGTGGCTGGATCTCAGCTCACTGCAAGCTCCGCTTCCTGGGTTTATGCCATTCTCCTGCCTCAGCCTCCGGAGTAGCTGGGACTACAGGCACCCGCCACCTCGCCCGGCTAGATTTTTGTGTTTTTTAGTAGAGACGGGGTTTCACCGTGTTAGCCAGGATGGTCTCGATCTCCTGACCTCATGATCCACCCGTCTCGGCTTCCCAAAGTGCTGGGATTACAGACTTGAGCCACCGCGCCCGGCCGATATGTTTCTATTTACCGATATACTTTTCACTGCTTACATTCCACAGCTTCTTTGCATAGGTAGCGATTTTGGTGGCATACTAGACATTGTGTTATATTGTTGATTATCTGGATATTTTAATCTTCCTTTAAAAATTGTGGAGCTTTGTTCTCAAATGCAGTTAATTTATTAGTGGATCGTCTAGGCCCAGTCAAAGATTTTTATAAAAGCTTTGGTAGGGTGACTTTCTATTTGCCTTCATTCCAGCTTTCTCATAGCTCTTCCTTCTCCAGCAGCATGTACTCAAGCTTTCAGCCTTTCACTGTGTGCACACAGCTTAGTATTCAGCCAAAGATTCAAGGGGACCTCTATGCATACTTTCTGGAGTTCTTTCCCTGTGTAGTTGTTTCTCCCTGTACTCTGCTCTACAAATTCCACCCACACCATTCCCACTTGAATTGCAGTTGCTGCCTCCACAGTTTCATAAGATTCTTGGGTTCCTCTTGGATTTATCCTCCATATACTGCAGTTTGGAAATTGTCATTTGATCATGGGACTCACCTCATTGGTTTCCTTTCTTTCCAATGTTACAGTCCTGGGCTGCCTGCTTTCCTTGTAAAACACTTATTTCGCATACTATGTATAGTTTTCTAATTATGCTGGGCGGGTACCAGTTACTCTACCATAGCTTGAATAAGAACTGACCAAGAATAATTCAAGTCATAATTCCTGTTGTTCGGACCCTCAGGAAAAACTGGTGCTAGGGGAGGTAATACCTAGACTGTCTTCCAAAAATCTGGGATGTGTGGATGGGGGAAGGTGGCAAGGGGAAGGCCAGGGAGAGGCAATTTCCACCTATTCTTTTCTTCATTCAGTAGGACTTTTGTGCTGATCTGCCATTTCTCCTACAGAAATTCACACCTTTAGTCTCGGACTTTGCCACTGATTTGTGTAGCAAGAATGCAGGCAGGAAAATATTATCCCAATGATAGAGGACAGGCATGAGCAGAATATAAATCTCATTTCTGTAACCATTCATCCACTGTCACCAGTGCCTCCCTGAACACACATACACACACACACACACACACACACACACACACACCCCACTATAAAATATTTTGTTTCCCCAGAGATTTCCCACTTTTTCTTATTTGCTCATTCCATAATTTCTTGTATTGCCTCTTGGTTTATTTGGAGGAACAACACACTTAGTGTGTGTTAAATCCCCACCTTGTCGGGAATCATTACATAATTTCTTTACCATGCTTTACTTTCAAGTTTTCAGGGGTGTTGGAAAGAGAAGGTATAGGAGAGGGTGTCCGGTGGCCTGTTCTGCAGGACCCGGTCTCTGCTCTGTCCTCCAGTACCTGTCTAGGAACCAGATACGCCGCTCCTGCCCCTGCTTTATATTTCAAAACATCTGCTATCATGAATTAAAAATGCGATTTTGTTTCCTGTTTTTAACTAACTTCATCTCATAGAAAACTACACTGCCTACTATCTGGGAGATGGCGCTTGGTGGCCTGTACTGCAGGACCCGGTCTCTGCTCTGTCCTCCAGTACCTGTCTAGGAACCAGATATGCCATTCCTGCCCCTGTTTTATATTTCAAAATATCTGCTATCATGAATTAAAAACGTGATTTTGTTTCCTGTTTTTAACTAACTTCATCTCATAGGAAACCACACTGCCTACTATCTGGGACTGTGTCTGCTTTCTTCATGGCTTAACGTATAGCACATGTCACATGACCCACACAATAAGCTGGTTCTGAGTCCTGCTCAGTGGTGCATGTGTATAGATGTGTGTCTTTAGGCAATATGTGGAGCCTCTCTTAGCCTCAGTGTTCCTGTTTGTAAGATGAATGTCATCATGGAATCCACTCCAAAGCATTTTTTTGAGAATAGAATATGACTGATTAATGTAAACACTCACTAAGGGCTGGCCAATCTTAATTATTAAATATTTAAAAATAAATGAATGCAGTGGACATGGTGGCTCATGCTTGTAATCCCAGCATTTTGGGAAGCCAAGGTGGGTGAATTCCTTGAGCCCAGGGGTTCAAGACCAGCCTGGGCAACATGGTGAAACTCCATCTCTACAAAGATTAGCCAGGTGTGGTGCATGCCTGTAGTCCCAGCTACACAGGAGGCTGAAGCAGGAGGATCATTCGAACCCAGGTGTTTGAGGCTGCCTGAGCTGTGATCATGCCACTGCACTCCAGCCTGGACAACAGAGCGAGACCCCGTCTCAAAAATAAAATAAAATAATAAATGAATGGATAAATAATAAAGTTCCATCAGTTCTACTCCTTTTCTGATCCTTGGCTGCTATCTTTGAGAACCTGTTGTCCAGCCCTGAATCTTTTCTTTTCTTCCATTCAGGGTCATCAGCACCAGTTCCAGAGAGGCATAGTTTCAGACCACCCTGCTGAGGCTGACCCCGTCTCAGGAGATGAGCAGGAGCTCCACTATGCTTTCTTACGCTTCCACAAGGTGCAGCTTCAGGAACCAGAGGTCACCAACACTGAATACTCAGAAATCAAGATACGCAAGTGAGGAATTGTCCAAAGCCGTAACCTTGATTGGAGACAACATGGTACCTCTCAGTGTATTGGTTACTAGGGCTGCCGCAGCAACGTACCACAGACTGAGTGATGTAAACACAGAACTTTATTTTCTTACAGTTTTAGATGTTAGAGGTCTGAGAACAAGGTGTTATCAGGGTTGGTTCCTTCTAAGGCCTCTCTTGTGTCTTCACATGGTCTTACCTCTGAGTGTGTTTATGTCCTAATCTTCTCTTCTTATAAAGACACTAGTCATATTGGATTAGGGCCTCTCTATGACCTAATTTACATAAATTAACTATTTAAAGACCCTCCAAATACAGTAACCTTCTGAGATATTGAGATTTAAGACTTCCAGCATATGAATTTTAGAAGAGAACAACTTAGCCCATAGCACTGTGTCCAGTTTTTTAAAAAATTAATATTTTTGTTGTCAATGGACTATATAAATTCCTTAGTATATATGGCAGATCACAGGACTTCTGTCCAAGAGAACTGAGTTCAACTCTATCTATGCCAGTTACTGAGCAAGTCACTTTATCTCCCTGCTCTGTAAGGCAGGGAAATAATTTCTGTCTAACCAGATTATTGTGAAAGGTCAAAGAAAGCATACAGCTAACATACAGCTTTGTCAGCTGTAAAACAGCTAACGAAGGCCCTGACACAAAGTTTTTCATAAAGTCTGTATATTATTGTAAATAAATGCCTTGTATCTGGGTTTGGTTAGCTGTTTTTTGTTGTTGTTTGTTTGTTTGTTTGAGACGGAGTCTTGCTGTGTCACCCAGGCTGGAGTGCAGTGGCACGATCTCAGCTCACTGCAAGCTTCGCCCCCTGGGTTCACGCCATTCTTCTGCCTCAGCCTCCCAAGTAGCTGGGACTACAGGCGCCCGCCACTACGCCTGGCTAATTTTTTGAATTTTTAGTAGAGACGGGGTTTCACCGTGTTAGCCAGGATGGTCTCAATCTCCTGACCTCATGATCCGCCCACCTCGGCCTCCCAAAGTGCTGGGATTACAGGAGTGAACCACCATGCCTGGCCTGGTTAGCGGTTTTAATAAATGGTTTCTGCTGGCAATTTCTCCTAAGGCTAAAAATGAGCAGGGCCAGCGGCCACAGCACCAGGTGTCTGTATCATTCCCTGTTCAGAAGTCTTCATGACTCCCCAAAATAAAGTTTCCATCCATCATCTTTCTGCTCAAGGCTGTCTACATGACCTTCCCCATCCAGATTTCCCCAACTCAATTCCTCACCAGTCACCAATACCCCATGTCCATTTCAGCAACTTCCTCTTACAAATCCCAGTCTCCACTCTTTCAGTGAAATTGAAGAAAACTAATGAAGACCAACTATTAAGGAAAATTCTTAAGAGTAGCCACGAAAAATAAAAAGACAGATTACACTTAGAAGACCACAGTTAGCGGTGGCTCACACCTGTAATCCCAGCACTTTGGGAGGCTGAGGGGGGTGGATCACTGGAGGTCAGGAGTTCGAGACCAGTCTGGCCAACATGGTGAAACCCCATCTCTACTAAAATACAAAAGTTAGCTCGGTGTGGTGGTGCTTGCTTGTAATCCCAGGTACTTCAGCAGGCTGAAGCAGGAAAATTGCTTGAATCTGCGAGCCACTGCACTCCAGCCTGGGCAACAGAATGAGACTCCATCTTAAAAAAAAAAAATCATCATCATTATCATCATAACACAAATAAGAAATTATTTAAAACTGGATACTGAAAATACTATGAAACTTTTAGAGTAAAAATAAAGCATTTATTAGAGGAAATATATATAACCTTATATGCTAGAGATGGGAAAAGCTAAAATTTAATAAACTAAGCTTTAATTTCAAGAATTTAGAAAAAGAACAACAAAACCAAAAGGAATTGGAGGGAAGGAAATATCAAATGATAAGAGCACATAGCATAGAAAACATATTCAGTAGAAAGGGACAACATCACGAACTGCTAGTTCTTTGATACAAATAATAAAATGGGCAAACCTCAGTTGCAATTAATCCAGAAATATAGAAGACAAAAATAACTAGTATGCAGGAATATAACGGAGAAAACATTAATCTAATATAAATTAAGCCGAAAGTAGTAAGCTGTACGAAAAGCTTTGAATATTTATATAAAATGGACAAATTTCTAGGAAAAAAATGTGTTACCCAATCCTACAGTCATGGTTCAGTTTCTTTTTTTTTTTTTTTTTAATTTGTCAAAGCACATATTAGACAGACATTTTTACAACCATAGAATCAAGAAAGACAGAAGAATGACATGAAACTCAGCAACCAGGCGGGTTTAAAATGTTCTGCATGGTGAAAAACACTATAAAAGTTAGTGACAAATAACTGACTGGAAGAACAGATTTGCAAAATGTAAATAGCTCCAATCCGCGCCAAGATGAAAAGGCAGGGTTCAGTTGCTATCTGTCCTTCGACCTCTCAGTCTCAAATAAATGAAAAGCCAAATGTATTTATGAAATTCTGCCACTAGGGGGAGTTCCTTCAGCCCAGCTTTCAGGTTCACTGTAGCTGAGTTTGTCATGCATGATGCGAAGTCCACTCCTTGCTGTGTCCGCTGATTGAGCAGAACCACTTGAAAACCAAGATGAAATGTTTTCCTCCTCAAGCGAGGGACATAAAGAACTGCCCATGAGGCCATAGGTGTGATTTCATGAAAAAATAAGACACTATACACAGGAGGAGTTGTAGGAATCTGGGCCACCTGCTCATATCACTTGGTTGTGATTTCTCGACCTCTTGAAGCCCATCTTGAAGTCTGTTATATCCAAATTCACTTTTTAATGAATTACTTCTTCACATGCCCAACTTTTTAGCTTGGTGGGTCACAGAGCACCTACTTCATGACGAGCAGTTTGTATCGTGTATTCATTTCATATCCCATAGTCAGGGTATCAGCGTCTACCAAGGCCTGGTAACAAGTCGGAGGCTCTTTCTCAAGAGATCCGCCATGTTCTGAAAAACAGAGCATGACTTTGCAACAAAAGTCATAGGGGTCTTCACCCTGCCCGACATTCTTAATTGTTCCACACACTTCAAGTACAATTGCATCTTGAGTTATAAACCCCAAGTTGTAAAGCTTCTTATACTACAGCCTGGATCTGCTGCAGATCCTTTTCTTGAACAGAGAACAACTCCAAACTGGGAGGATTAGGAGTGTCCTCAGCTCAGCAGTGAGCCAGAAATGTCCTGGGGCCAAGAGCCGCTGCTTATGGTTGGACAGTCTTAGAAAGTGGTGTGATGAGCCCTGGGCTCATGTGGCCCCACATCCAGTGATACAGGAAGGACCTGGAGAACCAATGTCCAATTCCTTCTGCCATGGGAAGACAAGGGAGCTTGGTTTAGCAGGTGAATCCGTCTCATCCCACTTTTCTACCAGGAAATCAGGGCCCGTGGCGGTGGTGGTTCTGGTGGCCGTCGGTGAGGCAGCTGCAAAGATCCTGATTCTCTGCCTCTACCTCATCCTCCTCAGGTGAGAGCTGTCCCAGAGACTAAGGGGAGGTGTGGGAAGAGCAGGGGCCACGACACTGAATTCTGGATCCCTGTGCTGGGGGGACCTGAATGAGTCAAGAGGGCCTGGGGTCAGCAGACGCTGAGTTGTGGTGAAAATTCCACAGGGGCCAATGGTTATCCATGCCTGATGCTGGTCAAAAGTCCAGGGTGAGAGGTTCCTGCTATCATTGTGGAGGTGGGCTAAGCCTGCTCTCTCCATCTCAGTCCCTTAGCAGGGCACAGGGAGGTGAGTCTGCTGCCCTCTGCACTGGGATCCAGCCACACTGATGGGCCGTGGTCTCTTGACTCAGTGTCAGGTCCCACAGGAGGAAGGCGGCAACAGCAGCAGGCATGGAGGCTGCAGACACCGTGCAAAGTTCATCTCGCCGGTGAGTGTCCTCGGAGTCTCACCCTCTAACATCCCACTGGACACACCCCCAAAAGTGGCCTCCAGGGCTGCTCTGCTCAGCATGGCCAAACCTGAGCCACCCATCTTCCTCTCCAAACCCACTTCTCCTCCTGGGATCCCCCTAATGACACAGAGGCTGCATCTCTTAAAACCAGAACCAGGATGTGGGTCTCCACCTTGACCTCCTTCCCTTCTCCAGATCCCATAAATTACTAGCTCTTGTTCCTCCTTCTCCTAAGTGTTTCACATGTCCATGTGAAGAGATCACCAAACAGGCTTTGTGTGAGCAACATGGCTGTTTATTTCACCTGGGTGCAAGCAGGCTGAGTCCGAAAAAGGAGTCAGCAAAGGGTGGTGGATTATCATTAGTTCTTATAGGCTTTGGGATAGGGGGTGGAGGTAGGAGGAATGTTTTGGGGGCAGGGGGTGGATCTCACAAAGTACATTCTCAAGGGTGGGGAGAATTACAAGGAACCTTCTTAAGGGTAGGGGAGGTTACAAAGTACATTGATCAGTTAGGGTGGGGCAGAAATAAATCACAATGGTGGAATATCATCAGTTAAGGCTATTTTCACTTCTGCGGATCTTCAATTGCTTCAGGCCATCTGGATGTATACGTGCAGGTCACTGGGGATATGATGACTTAACTTGGGCTCAGAGGCCTGGCACTAAGAAGGGTTCATCTTGGAGCCCTTTTCTCCATCCTGGCCCTGGTTATTCCTAGGACCTCACCTTTTCCCTAGTAACTGAACCCTCCTCACCTCCTGCTTCCATCTCTCCTGACACAGACTCCAGGCTGTGCTTCCAGATGCGTCCAAGTCCAGTGCCTCCATGGTCTAAGCGGCCGTGCTTCCTCTCCATTGCTGGAGAATGAGGTACAAATGCAACAGCCTGGACTGAAGGCCGTGCACGATCTGTCCCCTGCTGCACACTGCCCCAGACAGTGCGCAAATGGCCAAAAGCACATGAGAAGGTGCTCAGCATCATTAGTCACTTGACAATCACAAAACCTAACTGCAAAGGAAATGCTACTTCACACCCATTCAGAGAGCTACTAAAAGTTAAAAAAAAAAAAAACCTGGCATACTTAAATATATAAATGCTTGATATGATGATATTAATAGATACAACTAAGTAGTTAATTGCTTACCACCCACATATAATGGTTTGGATCTCAGAGAGGCAATACGAGGTCAGGTGCGGTGGCTCACACCTGTAATCCCAGCACTTTGGAAGGCTGAGGTGGGCGGATCATTTGAAGTCAGAAGTTTGAGACCAGCCTGGCCAACATGGTGAAAACCGGTCTCTACTAAAAATACAAAAATTAGCTGGGGATGCTGGTGGCCACCTGCAATCCCAGCTACTGGGGAGGCTGAGGCAGGAGAATCACTTGAACCCAGGAGGCAGAGGTTGCAGTAAGCTGAGATCACACCACTGCACTCCAGCCTGGGCAATAGAGCAAGACTCAGTCTCAAAAAAAAAAAAAAAAAAAAAAAAAAAAAAAAAAAAAAAAAAAAAAAAAAAGAAAGAAAAACGTCAGAGATGTAACAGCTACAAAAAGACACAGATACAAGCGTTTTGCATTGTGTTTTGAATATCTTGAATATTATGAGCCAGAGTCCCATGTCTGAGAGCAGAGCAGGGTGGAGGAGGGAGCAGCAGGGAGGATGGGGCGGCCCGTGTGGGGCCCTGAGGCCACGCAGGAACCTGGAGCCTTTGGGGATAGCAGAGGCTC